AACCCTGTTATAGTCTTGGCCTTCACAACATCCTCTGGCAAGGAGTTCCACAGGTTGACTGTGCATTGTGTGAAAAAATACTTCCTTTTGTTTGTTGTGCCAAGAACTTGCCTGGGTGAGACGGGAAACGTTGGGGGAAATGATGCTTATTTCCATTCTGTCCATGGCCAGTCCACTGCCTACCAACCTTCCCCCAACCCATACCCCCAGGCTCCTGGACAGCCCTCAGTAGGAGATTCTGCTCTGGATTTCGCCAAGCCCTCTTTCTAATCAGGAGTGGGAAGATCCACATGGTCATCTTGGGAACACAATCAGACCCTGGGAGAATTGTGTAGCAAATAAAAGTGAAACTTTAAAAAAACAAAACAAAAACCATAACTTAAGAATCATGGGCATTGTTAGTGGTGAAGGTAAGGAAGTGTGTGCTTACAACAGGCAATTGATATGCTAGCAGTTTCCCTTTAATAATCTTTTCATTTCTTAATGGCTTTCCGTAACAGTGACCTCAGTCATTCTGTTGTACAGTAAACAATGCAACAGTGCGCCATTAGCCTGCCAATTTCCGCTCGTGTTCTCTGATTAATAGGGCCCTTTTCCAATACTTGATCATAAACTAAAGAATATGACTTGAGCAACAAATCAAATTCAAGTGAGGATAGATGGTGTAGCTAGTGCTTCAGATGAATGTATGCAGGGCAAGTGTTCAATCCCGAGGGGAAGCTAATGTCCTCTTATTGATTCATCGTCGCATAAATCACTAGGAAGTAGACTGAAAGCGAAGCTAAGACATTGATACAAGCTCTGATTCTCCTCTCACGCTGGTGTAACTGCATTGACTGAAATGGAGTTACGGCTCATTATGCTGATACACATGAAAGGAGAATCAGGCTCATCGATTCGGATATGCAGCAAGGCCTCAAAAATTAGTAAATCTTAAATAATTCAGAATGGAGAGGAATTTCCAAAGCACTCGGCATTGGCTTAACTCTGCAGCCACGGAGCTTTACTGTGGACTTCAGTGGGAGCAGAGTTAGGCCAATGCCGAGTGCCTTGGAAAAAAATCTCCCCCGTAACTAATTAGGGGCTCAATTGTGCCTTGAAAGGGACAGCTCTTGGCAGTGGGTGGGATTCTGCTTTAGGCAGGCAGAATGCCGCTGGGAGCTCCAGAGTGCGCAGTGGCAACACACCAGCTGCTACCCTCCATAACTGGGTATAGCCTACACCCCTTGCAGGCTTATCCCCACTCGGTGAGCTGGAGTGGCGGTATGGATAAGCAGCATGGCTTGTCTCCTCCCTGTGCCATCTTTGGTGCCTTCGGGATCCTGTGCTCTCCCCCCCACACCATTGGGTCCAGCCCTTATGCAAGTAAGGCAATGAGGGGAAAGCCCTAGTGCTCCCCCCCATGCGCCTATGTACACACCAGGCCACAATCTGGCCCTGCACTATTAGAGCTCTATCAATTTTAGTCTATTGATCCCAGCCCCAAACCAGATCACTAGGGCTTTGTCAGGGCAGGAGTGAATTACATCATTAAAAACATGGTGTCAAGTATCAAGGGGTAGCCGTGTTAGTCTGTATCCACAAAAACAACAAGGAGTCCTCCTTGTTATCATTAAAAACATACATTACTGTACGTTAATGAATGACGGGCCAAGTAACCAATATGTAATCACCCTTAAAGTTACAGGAGCGCTGATCCAGACCAAAGACCCATAAAATAAGGGATGAAAAACCAAAAAGTCATACCCACTATTCTGTGCCAGTATGAGATCATGGCTAAACTGAGCAACTCCATACAGCTGTGACATATTGCTAATTTTGTTTCAAAGAAATCCACTAAGTCTCAGCTCTGCAGCTGAGATAAGGGCAGGGAAGAATAGCAGTAAAAGGGCTCTGCATAGGTACTGGGTTTTGCACCCACTGTGTTTTTTCTTCTTCCTCCAACCTTGACAGTATTTTCCTCTCACTGTTTGGAACTGACGTCTCTTTTTAATCAAATGCGTGTTCTCTATTGTGCACATGCAATTTTTTTAAAGTTATAATTTAATGCTAATTTTTTAGCTAAAGTGAAAATCACCACAAACATTGGGTGTTGGGGGGGGCAGGTGTGTGTGTGGGGGGGAAATCAAAGGAAATAGATGGACCATGTAAACATAGGGGCCTGAATGAAAGCCTCTAAAGTCAGTGGAAAAATTCCCCTATGACGTCAATGGGCTTTGGATCAGGCCCCACATGTCACTCATTTTAGAAGGCAGATACAGTCCTCTGCAGTATGGAGGTATTATAGGTTCTCCTGAAGACCTTAAGAACCTTGTATTCAAAATGGCAGTAGATTCAAGCATGTCCACTGCCTTTTAAAAAAGTCTGATATTTGTTTTGTTAAAAAACAACGAACAAGTGTGCTGTGCCACGGGGCAGGATTTGCAGCTCTGCACTCCTGCCGACAGACAGCCCTTCAGCAGATTGGGTGAGTATGGTTTTCTGTATCTCCATCTCCTGGGTCTCTGGTAGTGTTACCAGAGAAGGGGAATTCATGGATTCAAAGTCAACTAGATTGTGATCATCTAGTCTGACCTCCTGTAGCGCAAAGGCCAGAGACCTGCCCCCCAAATAATTCTTCGTGCATACCTTTTAGAAAAAAAGCATCCAATCTTGATTTTAAAATGGTTGCACTATGACCCTCGGTAAATTGTTCCGCTGGTTAATTACCCTCATTCTCAATGTATGCCTGCATGTATCTAGCTCCAGCTTCCAGCCACTGGATCGTGTTCGACCTTCCTCTGCTAGATGAGAAGAGCTGCACTTGTATGAGAAGCCAGCAGAGAGGATTACCGGAGAGAGACAGGAGAAGCAACAGGAGGAGAATGGGAGCCTGAGATGAAAGCGAGACTGAACAGGCTGATCTCCAGGGCCCTAAATGTGAATATAGGAGGAAGAGGGATGAGGTTTGCAAGATGAGAGGACCTAGTGGCGGACTAACAAACGTGACAACCACTGGTTGATCTTGTCACAGATCTGACTACAAGAGTGACCAGAAACTGAAAATAACTTTCACACAAGGGATAAGTTTAAAAGGAAACGGAATTGAATTCCCCGGGCTATAAGATAGTACAGAGGTGACTTTAATGGTTAGGAGAGAGAAGCTGAGGAATGATTTTCCTTTCTGTAACACCCATGTTATCCTTATTTGTAAACAATATGCTGTAACTCAGTCACAAGATGCAAGCTTGATGCAGGAATCATTGGGTGACAGATGTTCCCGGATGCAACAGAACCATTGTGCTTCCACTGCAGGGTGAAGCTGGCCACAGAGCGAGTGTGTGTAGTCCATGGGCTGCAACTGTGGTCCATGGGCTGCAACAACAACTGCACTGAGGTAGTCTATATCCTGTCTGGGGGGAGGGGATGGGGGAGGGGAATTCTGCCCCTCTTAGCCCTGCAGAAATCCTCTGTGCTAAGCCTATTCTCAGACTTCACCCATGGGTCAAAGATGTGCCTCTAGATAAACTCCTGGTAATGCCTGTGCATTGGTACAGCCTGACTCTGAAGCAATACCAACCCCTCACTTCAGAGGCTGCACACAGGCATAACTAATGTCCCATGGAACACTCAAAACCTCAAGCTATTATGCTGTTTCCATGATAGAACTGTCAGATGGAAAACAAGACTACTAGAGCCAACATGGTCAAGAGTGGCCACTGATTCCGATATCACTCAACCGTGACTTGAACAAGAGAAAGTAGGGGCTCTAATATGACTTGAAGGCACTGCCCCATATTGGGGCAGAGTGAGGGGGCTCATCACCTCAGGGGGAGCTCTGGCAGACTCACACCTCAAAAACAGGTACCCTGCCTCCCAGAGCTCCACGTAATGCAGCCAACGTGCCATCCTTGGAGAACATAGCATTCTGCTTCCCTCCATGCCTGGCCAGTGTGGAACAAGTTGCGGGGAGGTTAGTGCTGACTGTAGCACTTGTCTTACACACCACAAACACAGGGACTACTACTGTGCTCAGCCCTAGTGCAGGTGTGTAAGGAATGGATATCCCTTGGGTCCTTCCCCAGCCAAAGTATCTGCACGGGAACCAGGCACACACACACTCTCTAAGCCAGTAAAGCATCTAAACAAATATTATGAATGTAGGTCCCAAGTGTTCATTTGTTACCTAGAGGCAGATCTTGTTATTTCTTTGTAGACAATGGTTTTAGACCTCATTAATATTGTTTCTCTCAATTGCTATTTGAGTGCATTCTTAATTATACTATAGGCAGCGAATGCCCTGCTATTCCTTCATCTTTATAATACGGTTTCCTGTACTGCTATCCATTAGTCAATCATTGCAATTTAGGCAACAAATAACACACTCCTTACAAAAAGTTCTAGGCACCCTAGCAATTAATCAGACTGAGAATCACAAAATAACCATCCAGCAGCCAAAAATAAATAAATAAATAAATAAATAAATAAATAAATAAAAATCAAAGGCAAATAATGAATTCAGCCAGCCAATATATTGCAATATTACAGAATTTTGTCATGCTAGCGATCTCCTATGCATGCAAATAATCCCCAGGTGAGTAAACATTCATCCACGAGAATAAAAACTTTCTCAAGCCTTATTCTTGAATTTAACTCAATTAAATTTCACCCCCATACTTTTTAAAGTGCCTAACTGACTAAGAGCCTAAGTCCCATACAGGTAAGTGCCTAACTCTAATGACAGTCAATAGGACTTAGGAATCTAAGTCTCTTTTGAAAGAGAGACGTAGGAAAAAAGATATAAACAGACTGATTCACGGACCACACCAAATAAGCATGCGACATGCTTCATAAAAACCACCTTCTAATCTACCCTGTAGCAGCCTGATCATTTAAAGCTTTTGTCAAATTGGTCAGTTTCTCAAAGACACTGCATCTCTAAGCAATACAAGTAAGATACATTTAAACAATTACAAGCCATGGGAGACTTGTCATTGTCATTGTGTTAAACCACACAATACCTTGTTTATGGTTGAAAATGCCTTCATTCGCCACACCACAGCACAGCAGGGTGTTTCTTGATAGCTGTCCCATGAGCAATATCTAATAGAGATGCACAATGGAACAAATAAAAAAAACAAAAGACAACAAGTGCTTGGAGAGAAATAGTAAAAGCTGGTACGGAATTACCAAACTGGGATTTATTTACTCCAGGGAACAATACTCATTCTTCTCACTGCAAACTCCTCTTGCACAAGAGCCCATTTCCACATGTCGTTTGACATGTTTTTCCTAATTTAGAAGCCTTGTGGCATTCAGTGGATTTTAATGCACCGTAATTTTGAACTGAGCCATCATAAGTAGTTTAAATGAACATATTGTTGGCACTCTATTATCTTGAAATATATATATTAAGTTACCTGCAGGTTCCCTGTCTTTTATTGATGGTCAAGATGCTCTACATACTAATGAAATTTAAATATTTGGTTTCTGATTTTTTTTTTAAATAAATAGTATCCAGGATTTTCAGATAGGAATAGTGATTTTGAGTGCCCAATTTCAGACATCTAAAAATAAGCTTGATTTTAAAGGCAGTACTGAGCATCCTCCACCCAATCATGAGAAGGTGAGTACCTGAAATGTGGACACACCAAAATCACCAGTTATTTCTGAAAATAAGCCAAGGATGTTTTGCTTACTGCTATATTATATTACATTATAAAAATACATTACAGGAGCAGAAAGTAGTCTCCATTTATTTGAATGTTTTGAATTAGGAGAAAAATTCAGGCTACGTTAGGAAGATGCAACACTGTCAAGAATAAAGATGGGGATTTATCAGGGAAAGAAGATATGATATGGTTGGAATGCCTGAAGGGAATACCAGAGCCAGAGATCTGAAAGACATTTTACTTCTGAATATTAAAAATTGTCAACATTTTCATAATTGAAACAATTATAGCATAATAGTTGCACAGGTGTGAAATCATAAGTCTGTCAAGAGAGCAGACAAATTATTTGGAAAGAAGCACTGCAATTTGATATATCAGCTGCCATCTTCTCCGCATTAAGGGACAGATCTTCAGCTGGAGGAAGCTGACATTGGCCCATTGAACTTAGTGGATCAACACCAATTTACATCAGCAGAGAATATGGCACTATGGATTTAGGATACCTTTAAAAATTAAAGCTTTCATTTTAATCCACCTAAATCCATTTCACCTACACCTCACTTGCTGGTGGAAAGAGACAAAGACAGCATTACAAGTGTGCCAATGACCAGGCAGGTTGCAAATAACAGTTCAGTGTATATTTAAGTCAATTCACAGGGAAGATCAAACATTCTGCACATTACATCGGTTATATTTATAATTTCTCTTAGCGAGAAGAGTCCCCGCCCCCTTCACCTAATAGTGGAGGGTGCCAGCAAGTAAAGTCACAAGCAAAATGGATAAGTTGGAGCTTGAGTCTGGCTCTCCGACCACGCACAGAGGGACTCCAGGAGCACTGCATATATTTGAAGACATGCGTGCCATGTGTCTATGCATCCCTAACAAGCAGGATGTGGAAAAGTTAGGGGTAAGAGGTAAGAGACAGGAACCAAAAGAGATGCTGGTTTAGTTCCTGGCTCTGCCACAAACTCCCTAATGTGAACTTGGGCGAGTCATTTAGTCTTTATGCCTCAGTTCCCCCATTTGTGAAATGGGAATGATACTACTTCTTCCCCCTACTCCCCCACCTTTATTCATCTATTTAGACAGTACATTTTTTGGTACAGGGACTCGATATTTGTACAAGACCTAGAACAATGGGGAGCCAATCTCAGCTGCAGCTTTCTGGCACCATGATAAGCAAACAACAATAATGCAGATTATTCTCCTGCCATGAATAAGCAGTCTTCTCAAATGTTGAAGTGGGTGCTATGGCCAACCAGAATATCAGCACACAGTTAACACCACTTCTGTGACAATAGTCCGAACCTGGTGAGGTTGCCAAAAAATCTTTTGATGATCTGGGCTATAACATAATACATACACACATTAAGATATATGCAGTAATACTACTCATACATAAAGGTAATCTCAGCCTTCCTGGAAAAGGATTACCTTCATTTTTCACTTTTTCGGATGGTCTGTGTTATGTTGGCTATCAAGGATCTGTTCTCTTTTCTCCACCCATTTTTGGAGTACACTTTCCATTAAGACAACTTTTATAGGTAACTATTGATAATCAGTGATTAATAGTCATGCTTCCTAAGGAATCAGAAATGAATAGACATGCTTTCTAAGAAAGCGCGGCAGTCTGTATTAGTTATTGTAGGGTTGCTATAAGCACAAGTTTGTTCGCATTCCAGGCGAAGGGCTTTGTAGCAAGTAGCTGCACATTTAATCGATATTTTAAAAACTTAGCCCCACTCAAAGTATTAGAAATTAACCCTAACAAATGTGGTGATAGTAATAGAAATATTTTAAACCTTTGTACAGGTTGATCACCCGAAGATTGGCCGCCCCTTACCAGGTGCCGCCCCAAGCATGTGCTTGGTTGCCTGGTGCCTGGAGCCGGCCCTGGTTAAGAGCATTTGGAAAGTCAATTGTCCTTTCTTTCCTTACTATATATTGTCAAGCAATATAATGGTTCTTCCCGAACTGTTTACTAGAACTCACTCTTTCATCCAACTAATCCAGAAAACTTCCCACAATCTTTTGTGAAGAAAACTGAATTATTATAAAATACTGTTCACTTAATCCTTCCCATTAGGCCATTCAGTGATCACTGAATCTCAAAAAGTCTTAGAGCCACTGCATGCAAATATTTTAGTGCTAAATGAGTTGTGTCACCTACATTTTGGATTTTTACATCACCATTTGTCATTCTGACTAATAGGTCTTGCCCCTCCTTGATTTGACTGGTTGGTATTGATGTAAGTAAGTTTTGATGAAAGTAAGCTTTTTGGAGAAATCCAGATCTTTCACCTTACTGCAGTGACACCTCTTTCCAGGAGGCGTCTGTAGCCATCAAAAAACTGCAAGAACAAGCAACATGACATGACACAAAGTTAACAAGAACTGGACTGGATGTTAGTAATGGGAAATTTACCAGAGATGAAAATGTACAGTCCTACTAAAATCAGTAGCCATCGAAAACTCTCATCAGTTGATGTTTATTCAATGACCTATATGAAACAACTTTTGGTCTCAATCCAGTGGACAGGTGTCTGCATCCCAGACTGCCTCAATGACACCTTAAAACAAAGGCCATGGATTAAAATTCACATGGAGGCAGATTTACTTTTTCACCTAGAATGGTCCCTCAGAAGAAGCATTCAGTCAGTTAGTTACAAGACGTCTTGCTGTGCCTAACATTTTCCCATCTTTTGGAATGGCATGTTCTACTTGAACGGTACAATTAGATTTTTCTGGAATGAGGCAAAGGGACACTTTGGGCCTGCAAAAAAGAAAACACAAACAAAAACAAAAACAAAAAACCAAAACAAAATAAAATGAGGAGCGTTGGCAAGACAAAGCTCTCAGCTTTGAACAGATGAGATGGTTACCAGGAAAAAATCGATTTATAAATGCCAAATGTAGCTGCTGAAGAACCAAATCCAGAGTTAATACAGCTATGACATTTTCAGGGAAACTGTCAAAATGTCAGTACATCCCTGGGAGGCATCTTTATGGTTGACCAAACTAACTGTATTCCCTCCTGGGAATCCTGGGAGTTGGCGCAATTATAATTTTGCAGAGAATGTCTAGAGGAAGGTACCTGGGGCCTTTTGGGTTGAGCATACGTAGGCTTGGAAGGATTTGATTTCTATTGGTGAAATAGACATTTATCAAATGCGCACAAACAGAGGAAAAAATATTTGCATTGATAAAAGAAATGTACAGGTGGGCCAAGTGAGAAAAATGCTGCTTGAGAACTTAGTTTGATTTAAGGATATGTACGTAGCATATTTTGATGTGGTGTTGACAATTTGTGTTTTAATTATTATAATGCTTTAACTTTTTGAATCTCAGCATCATCAATAATTGTTTCACTCCCTCCCATAATTTTGCACAACTGAAAATTTAAACCTATAATTGGAAAATACTCAAAAAACCAAACATCTATCGCAGGGGTCAGCAACCTTTCAGAAGCAGTGTGCTGAGTCTTCATTTATTCACTCTGATTTAAGGTTTCATGCGCCAGTCATACATTTTAACGTTTTTAGAAGGTCTCTTTCTATAAGTCTATAATATAGAACTAAACTATGTATGTAAAGTAAATAAGGTTTTTAAAATGTTTAAGAAGCTTCTTTTAAAATTAAATTAAAATGCAGAGCCCCCCAGACCAGTGGCCAGGACCCGGGCAGTGTGAGTGCCACTGAAAATCAGCTTGAGTGCCGCCTTTGGCACGTGTGCCATAGGTTGCCTACTCCGATCTATAGTAACCCCCCACCTCAAAAAATCTACTCCTGCCAAGCCTAAAAACATAACTTTGGAGGAAACTCCGTAAACTCTCTTTAAACATATCAGAGGGATAAATACAAGGGAGGGAGAGGAATTATTCCAGCTTAGTACTAATGTAGACACGAGAACAAATGGATATAAACTGGCCGTGGGGAAGTTTAGGCTTGAAATTAGACGAAGGTTTCTGACCGTCAGAGGGGTGAAATATTGGAATGGCCTTCCGAGGGAAACGGTGGGGGCAAGGGACCTGTCTGGTTTTAAGATTAAGTTAGACAAGTTTATGGAGGGAATGGTTT